ACTTGCTTCTTGCAACAACAATATAATCAAAGCGATGCAACACTTGATTTAAACCGAAATATAAGAAAAGGGGGCAACGTGCCAACTAATTTGAATATTTCCCTTGCAACCCTTCAAAATAATCACACAAAGGAACTTCGACCTTAAAAATAAGTACAGATAGTTGATATTACAATAACCGGTATGAATTGACAGTTGAAAAAAAACGTTTTAAATATGAAGAAATATAAATTGCATTACTTGTATATTGCTTTTACGAATATGACAATAATGAACCAATAAGAGACATTATTTTTGGGGATGACCAAAAGTTCAAACAACAATATTCCTTGCACTCGTTTATTTAATCACTCGCTCCACAACATCGATCATCAATCCGTTTCTAGAATGATTACGTCAATTGCCGATACTTATCACCTTCGAGTGCTTTTCGGTTGTCGACTACTCAACGAATGAATCCGTCTCCGTGGTCGTTTTCACATTTATACATTTATTCTATAGACCAATCCAACGGAACCGGACGTTCGTTCAGTTGTCGTATTAAAATAGTAAAACATTTATTAACGATTCAACAATATAATCTAAAATCATAAAACAGGTTAAGATTAATTTACGGATGATTAAAACAATTATGTATTTTCAACTCGATACAAATAAAAGTAAATTATTAAGTTTAAGGAAGCTAATCAATTGCGCAACTAGTCTTGAGTCAATGCAAATACCATTACTACATGAATTACGCCCTCAATGACTATATAATTATAAAATAGGCACGAAGGACCCTAACATTATATTATACTAACTATCGCCCGCGACTCCGGCCGAGCGGAATTAAAATTAATTAGTAGCCCATGTATTCGCCAGACTATGTTCTACATCTATGCTAAAGTTCACTATGATCCATGCAGCCGTTCTGGAGATACCTTCTAACAAACATCTAAACATTCGCATTTATAATATTAGTAAGATGTCCTTTCCGTTGTATCCTATAGTTTAAAAAGCTAGATTGATTTTGAAGATGAGAGAGAATAGTCAATTCTTCAAATATTTCAAAAATTTCAATAAAGCTTATTCCTACTTAAATTAAATTTTCTTTTATATTATACCGTAGACTAACTGACGTTTTCTTTAACGTATGCACAATGTCCCCTTGTCTGTCTCTACGGTGTACCGTTAACTCGGCAAAAAAAAAAATCAAACCGTGATAAGGTTGAGTGCAAGGGTCCTATTGTTAAAACACAAGGGTGGGCTATGAATGACCGAGACGGGAATTGACTCGGTGCAAGCAAAAAGGTTCTTACTTATAACCTCCTTAGTTAATTCCCACCAATTTTTTGATTTTTTTTTGTTCAATAAAGATTTTTTCGTTTTTTAATTTAGGTCAAACATAATGCATAAAAATATAGCTTTAATAACCACATTTATAAAGCAATAGATTAATATTTTTATTGATTTATTTATAGAGCTCTAATACTAAAATTAAACTAAATGTTATCTCTGAGTATGGTAAATGCCTAATAAATATTATGATTGAAGATGTAATGGAACTTCATAGTTTTTTTTCACTATTTATTGTTATATGTGCGAAATTAGTTCACTTGGCAATATAAACAGGAAATTTACATCCGGTTAAGTATATTTTTAAGGAAAATCGTCTATTAGTTGATGCAAAACAACTTTATCTAGCTAGTAACTATTAATAATTAGAATTGTATTATTTTGCTATTGTAATTAACGTAAATTGGAACGCAAACGTATTTTATAAAAAAGCATAATGTCCGTTAAATCTGAACCGTTAAAATCGATATTTTATTCATACATTCCATCGCCCCATCCCTTAAAAAATATTTAATTTACTGTATATTGATCAGATTTACTTGAATTGATGTTTATCTTTTGTTAGAAATGTGCATGATATCTTTAAAGAACACATATTAACGTTACAAGGAAATGTTTCGGTATTATAATAAATACGTTGTTATTTTCAGCTTGTAGTAGTTTAAAAATCTTTATTACATACACAAAAACTAAGTCATAATCAAAAAATATAAATGACACGAAAAAAATTAAAATTTGTTATGAGTTATAAAAAAAAATTTTAAACTAATAAATAAAACCTCTTTCGTTAATTTATTTTGTCTTATGCATTTCTGAACGCAATTTGCACATAGACAGCTGTCAAATCAAACTCAAAAGCGCGCGAACTAATTTCAGCTGATTCATATTATTCTTTATGACTACCTGTTATTTAACATTTTAATACAAATATGATACCTTAATAGTGCATTTACATGGGAATTTGTAGTTTGTGGATACGAGGATCGTTTCTCATAACCTCTAACGGAATTCATTGTGTGTTTTGAACTCGGAATAATGTGTCGGGATATCGGGAAAGGGCTTCAAGGTAACCAGTTATATTTATTAAACGTATCGACTCCCTAATGTTGTGAAGATGGTAAAAAAACTTGTCTATTATTAACTCACCCTTTATAAAAGATATATTGTTATCTTAAACTACGATTTTAGAATGACGTTATCAAATCTATGTTATGGAAACAATATTATAAAGATTTATTCATTCTAATATTTCATAATTGTACTATGCGTAAACAATTTTAGATTTCTATATGATTTTAAAATTTATAACACATAAATTCCATTATTTTTAACGGATACTTAGAGGCAAGAATGTTACTTAATTTGTAAATGTTTAACATTGGGTTTTCGAGACCAAAATCTCCTTTGAAAACATTCTTATGTCTGTTTTGTCAAGAACTGACAGAGATAAGGATATGTTTTATACTGATATTTTAGTATCAGGAATTCAAGTTTAATTCAGTGGACTTCTAAGTTTAGTTGATACAAATAATTTAGTAAAATATAAAAAAAATATTTATATATAAAATATTATTATTATAGTGGTATCAACAGTGGTAGAGCCCGCTTTAACATCTTCACACGAATTGTCCCGGCTCGCCCGGTGAAATACCACGACCACACAGAAGACAGGCGTCAAGTGGAGGCAATTCCGCGTTTCGTCTGATGAGTGTGTGTCCCGGAGGCCTAACTTAGTCCTCTTTCTCATCCCACCATTTTTCTTATAAGGAAAGGATGGGAAGTGGAAGTGGACTTTCCAGATGAGAGGATGCATGGAAAGAGAAAATATTTTCTTTCTGTGCATCCTTTTCTCCGTGGATTAAAGGTAGGCAATGCATATGCAATTGCGTATGTCTATGGGCAACGGTCACTTCGCTATTTCAGCGATATCTAGTGGCCGCTCGCTTTGCCACCTTATGATTTAAATAAATTTAATAAACTAAACTATCTTATTGTTACAGGCTGATAACTGAAAACTTCAAAATAAATTCAGGAAACAGCGGCAAGAAACGCAAACAAAGTGAAGCAATCTCAACAAACTTCAAATTGAAGATGAACCCGCATTCATTAGACTTTAATACAAAGCAATCACCGCACAATTCACCTATAGCAACACCGAAACGTAGAGTGCTCGGTGAATTACAAAACTCACCTTTATATAGACCTTTGAACTCACCGATAATGGAAAGGATAACATCACCAACTATCGATAGACTTAAGAATTCACCGTTGGAAAGAAACTCACCATTGATAGATCGTACTAAATCACCTTTAACAAGTCGTATGGACAGAGTTAGAAGAAGTTCAGCTAAAATAACTAGAATATTCGAAGAAAGGACTAAATTTAAAATGTCCAACAAAGAGAATCAAAGTCCATTAATGAGTGAAACATTCATGAAATTAGATATGGAGGAAGAAACAAGGGATTGTTCTTTCGGAGAGACTTTCCAATCTTTGATGTGTACAGAGAAAGTCAATAATTGGTCTACAGCTAAGGTATGTTGAATGTTTTTACTTGATTTGTGTATTACAGTGAGTTTTCATTGCATAGTGTTCTTCCAGACTATGTTCTACATCTATGACAAATTTCATTGAACCATTTTAGAGATACCTTCAAACAAACATCCATCCAACCAGCACTGAGCCAGCGTGTTTGATTATGACCTAGTCACTGACTTAGGCTCCGAGTTCAGTGGGGATGTATAGTGAGCTGATGACGAAGAAATATTTATCCATCTTAATATTCGCATTTATAATATTAACTAGCTATCGCCCTAGACTTAGTCTGAACTGAATTATAAAAAACTAGCCTATATGTTCTTCCAGACTATGTTCTACATCTATACAAAATTTCAGCAAGATCTATACAGTTGTTCTAGAGATTCTAACAAACATACATACTAAACTAAACATTCATCATCATCATCAGCTCACAGTAAGTCCCCACCGAGGAGCCTACACTAAGTTAAGGTGATTTGGCCATAGTCAACCACGCTGGCCAAGTGCGGGTTGACTTCACACATATCTTTGACTTTCTCAGATATGTGCAGCATCACGATGTTTTCCTTCACAGTAAGAACATAGGATAAATGTACATATGTAATGTAAATCGGAAATGGAAAAACACATTGGTACATGGCGGTATTCGAACCCAGGACTTGCAAGTCAGGTGCTTGACCACTGAGCTACCGACGCACATCTAAACATTCGCATTTATAATATTAGTAAGATAAGATTATTAAATAATTGTTTTTCATATTTCAGTTCGATTTCACGGATTCATTACCACAAAAATCTTACGATACTAAATTAAACGACATATATGTACCACAAAAAGATATAGAAACAGATTTGGATACAGGATTTGAGACGTTACACGATTTGGAAGAGGAATTTGACGCTGATAACTTCGATCAATGTTCAAAATATGAAATAATATCAACAGACAGTCCGGACATTATATCAAAAGGTAGAACATCAACGAGGAAAATAAGTTCAAAAGATTTCGTATTCGGTGCACCTTTATCTGATGTTGAAGCTTCAACATCATTCAATAAACCCAATATTAACGCAACAAGGATGCTTAATTTCGAAGATGAATTTCCATTTACATCACCGGCAACGAAGAAATCAACAATTTCAGTGAAGAAATCATTAAAATTCAATGAAACACCAACGAAATGTGATTCGTTATCGATATCACCGTCCACAAAAGTGAGATTCCCATCAGAATCAACAGCATCAATGGAAAGCGGCTTCGTATCAGAATTCGAAGAACCATTTTTGGAATTAGATGAAATCTCAAATTCACCTAAAATGCCTAATTTCAATGAACTTTTATCAGGTAAAATCAAAGAAAATATTATAACAGATGAAAAATATGAAAACAAACCAATAATACGTAGTATCAGTTTGAACTCTAAAGCTAGGGTTTCATTGTTCTCTATAAAAGAGACACAAGTGAATAAATCACAGAAACGATGTGAAATTAATGAATTAGAAAATGGATGTAATAAAAGGAGGAAATCTAATTGCGGTAGTCCACAAATAGACAGACAAAGACCGGTGCTGCAGCGAGCTTATTCAGAAAATAACGCATCAATAATGTCAGCACTTGCTAGATGTAAGTTTATTTTATTATTGCATTGTACTACAATCAAAATTAAAAAAAAAATCATAGTCTATGTGTTCTTCCAGACTATGTTCTATATGTATGACAAATTTCATCAAGATCTGTTGATCTTTCCGGAGATATCTTTAATAAACATCTATCCATACATTCATCAATAATAAACTCATTAATACAACCATCAATACATGCATCTATTCCTCCATCCATACACATTTATAATATTAGTAAGATAAATCTATTTTATAACAGCTGTGTTGGAGCCTGACCTCATCGGAGACTTCTCTCTACCGTTCGCGTTACCCCTGACCAGCGGAGACCATGCTGACCTCAAGTCTATATCTTGTGACACCCTCGCTGCACTGCTCCAGGGAGAGTTTGATGACAGCATCAGTCAATATCAGGTACATCATCAGCTCACTAACATCCCAACTGAGGGTAGAATCTACCCTAAGCGATATGTGATAGTGAATGCTGGTCCAGTGCAAGACTCCACATGTTTGACTTTCTCAGATATGTGCAGCATCACGATGTTTTCCTTCACCGTAACATAAGATAAATGTACATATGTAAAAACACATTGGTATAGCGGGATTCGAACCCAGGACCTGATTACAAGTCAATTCCTTAACCTCTGAGCCACCGAGGCTCTATTATTGTTAATAAAACTATCTTTATGATTTATTTAGTGTTTTTATAATTAAAAAAAACTTAATAGTCTATGTATTCGAGATGTTCTACATCTATGACAAATTTCTGAACTGTTCCGGAGATTCTAACATCCATCTATACCAGTGGTTCCCAAACTTATTTTGTCTACTGCCCACTTTGAGAATAAATATGTTTTTAACGCCCCTCATATTTTCACATATTTAAAAACCACTATAACTTCAAATTAAATTAATTAATTATTGTGACCTATATATGTATATTAACGGAGAATTGTAAAGGAAACTTTTACTATAACCCGCAACTTGAGACCTGCAGCGCCAACAAGGGGACGTTATCACACACTTTGGGGAAGACTGTTCTATATATCAAATTTAATCAAGATCCGTTCAGCTGTTCTAGAGATATGTTCAAACATCCATCCATCCACAATACATCCATCTAAACATTCGCATTTATAATATTAGTAAGATATGAATTTTTTTTCTTTCCAGGTGATAGACTGTCGTTATCCTTACGAGTTTGAAGGTGGACATATCCTGGGAGCTGTGAACTTATATACACCGGAGCAAGTGTTAACATTGGTGAATGAACCACTCCCCAAGTCAGGAGATAAACGGAGTATTCTGATATTCCACTGTGAATTCTCATTGGAAAGGGGACCTAAATTGTAAGTATATGTTTGTCTGTTTGTATGATTTTAAATATAGATATATAAATTTTTATAATATTTTATAACTAGCTTTTACCCGTGATCTTATCTATGTTAAATTAAAACAAAAATAGCTTAAGTTCTTCCACACTATGTTCTACATCTATGCTTAATTTCATTCAGATAAATGCAGTTCCGGAGATAGCTTTTTTTTATATCATAAGGTGGCAAACGAGCGAGCGGTCACCTGAAATCGCTGAAATAGCGAAGTGACCTTTGCCCATAGACATACGCAATTGCATATGCGTTGCCTAACTTTAATCTACGGAGGAGAGGATGCACAGAAAGAACATATCTTCTCTTCCCATGCATCCTCTCATCCGGAAAGTCCACTTCCACCTCCCATTCTTTCCTTATAAGAAAAAAGATGGGAAGGGAAAGAGGAAATTAGGCCTCCGGGACGCAACTTCTAACAAACATCCATCTATCTAAACATTCACAATTACCTTGATATCTTACTAATATTATAAATGCGAATGTTTGTATGTTTGTTAGAAGATATCTCCGGAACCACTCAACAGATCTTAATAAAATTTGTCATACATATAGAACATAGTCTGGAAGAACACATAGACTACCAAATTTTTATCATGACCTCGCAGACAGAAAACAGTCAGTTCTATATATATTTAGTAATATTCCTACTAATATTAGTAACTTATCCATCAGATCTCGCTTCCTGCGTTCAAACGACCGAGCAAAGAACCAAGAGAACTATCCCTCACTCCACTACCCCGAGGTGTATCTCCTGCATGAAGGATACCGCGCATTCTACACGCGCTACCCCGCGCTCTGCTCAGCCGGATACACCGCCATGCTGGACCCTCGTCATCGTCAGCAGCTGCGTCACCACCGCGCCCTCACCCTCCCGGCAGCCGCTGTGCACAGGCGGCACAGGCACTGACCTGCAGCTGCTGGACACAGGCGGCACAGGCACTGACCTGCAGCTGCTGGACACAGGCACTGACCTGCAGCTGCTGGACACAGGCGGCACAGGCACTGACCTGCAGCTGCTGGACACAGGCGGCACAGGCACTGACCTGCAGCTGCTGGACACAGGCGGCACAGGCACTGACCTGCAGCTGCTGGACACAGGCGGCACAGGCACTGACCTGCAGCTGCTGGACACAGGCGGCACAGGCACTGACCTGCAGCTGCTGAACACAGGAGGGACAGGCACTGACCTGCAGCTGCTGGACACAGTGATCAGTGATATGTGAACACCAGTCAAGTGTAAACCAGTGTATCCCAACAGTTATATCTAGATATTTATGCAATTTAGTGTAATCAAAGACTGGTGTAGTGGAAAACTAGTGTATTAGACCAATAATGTGTCAATATCTAGGCAATTTAGTGTATCCAGGCATTAATAATGTCTGAATAGGTATATGATTTGCTATATCGAAGGACCAATAATTTGGAAATGGGTGTACAGTGAAGGAATCTATGGAAAGAATTTAAAGTAAGAGTTTTAATATGAAAAATTTGGTTACGATCATGATTTGGTTATGGTCTACTCGAAAGACCGTTCAAAATAAATAATTAAAGGCTACTGTATAATCCATCTTAAGCCTTGAAGAGATCGGTCTACTGAAAAGAACACGGTCTACTCGAAAGACCGTACAAATATAGCACTGCAGGCTTCTGTATAGTCCATCTTAAGCCTAGAGGAGGTCGGTCTACTGAAAAGAACATGGTCTACTGGAAAGACCGTGGTCTACTCAGTAGACCATGAAGACGGCGACAGTTATTCTGTTGAGGATTCTGTATAATACATGAATAATGACTATTTTGTCTTAATCGACATTCATATTGAGAAAGTACTGATAAAAAATCTATATAAAAACGGCCTAGATTTTAATATGTAAATAAAAAATGCCATACTAATATTAAATTAAGTTATTAGTACAAAAAAATATTAGTTTTTAAAAGCAATATCCCACCTTTATTATTAAAATCTCGTTTGCCATTTAATTATTGATAAGTTTCTAGTTTATACGATATTTCGTTAAGTTTAGGAGATTTAAAAAAAATACTACTAAAATTCCAATTTAAAAAAAACAATGAGAAATTATAGTGTACCAAGATCAGTTAAAAAAATAAGGCAATTTTAAAAAAAAAGGACATTAAAAAAAATTTGAATATCAGGAAATATCGGTTAGGGGGCAGTCCATAAATTACGTGACATGTCAAATCTTATCTAAACTTACGTTGGAGTGAGGGGGGGTTTCGGCAAATTGAAACAAAAAAAAAGCACGAAGCATTTTTTTTTATAATAACAATCCAACGCGTTTACGTAAGAAACTCACATTTTGAAAAATCTCACGTGAGATTGGGGGCTGGGGGAGGGGATTGAATAAAACACCTCACGTAATTTATGGACTTTCTGGAATTCTTATAACGACGGAAGATTTTTTTTCTTTATCTATATAACTCATTTGACATCTGTCTGTTTTTATAAGCTTTAATACAATATTTGTACTAAGTGCCGTTTTTAAACCCAAGATACATGTAAGTGTAGTTAAAAATATATAATATAAAAACATATAATTATAGTAAAAATTAATATTTAATTAAAAAAAATATTTCGAATAAAAAAACCGGTAAACCACTACAGTGGTACATCACTAGCATTTTGACATATTAATAAAATTAGTCGAATTTTTATTTTATTTAGATGCAATTTATTAACTATTAGATTTCTAGTTGGAATAAAAATTAAAAAAAAATTCTAGATAATTTCCGATTCTATTAATTTCCATAATTATTCTCGATATTAAAATAACTTTAATTCCTTTAAAAAAAAATTAATATTTGCTTTGCATTTATTTTTCTTGGCTCTACAAGTAATGCAACATCAAACCAAAAAAAAAAGTTAGTCGAAACAGCGCGAAGCAACTGACAAGTGTCAACTGCGCCCGCCATATTTTGATCAACTTTCACGTATTTTTATAGTATGTCTATTTAAGATAGATTAGTTTGAAAAGTGACGTGTATAAAATATGGAATTAATTTAGTATGAGGATTAATGTTGTACTTAATGGACGGTTGTCATAGTGTCGGACCACGCAACGAATAACTGTGAACTATCGGGAATCGGTCTTATAATAATATTAATCGAATAAATAAATATTATAGCTTAAGTATCTTATTAGTTTTGGAATTTATCACAGAGATTTAATTATGTATCCCGCAATTAATTAAAAATACATTAAAAAAAGGAAAATTTTCGAATGCAAGTTCTATCGAAAATCGAATATTTTCACAATCAATTTTAATCAAGCCATCTCTAGTGAATTGTCACAATATAATTGTTTTATTGTGTGTTTCTTTAAGATATTAGTTTGACAATTCAAGTGATATTTCATTAAATATTGGTTGAGTAAAGTCCATTAAGAATTTTTTCGATTTTCGATGCTCGTTCTCGATTGCAATCGAAACTTTCGTGAATATTGTTTTTGAATTACAATATAAATAAAATTGTTTCATTCTATTCCTACTTTATCCTTCATAACGACATAAGGAATTCAGATATTAAACCAAAATTTGAGGTGTGGTAATAAAAAAAAAAGATTTTTTTAATTAACTATGTGTAATACAAAAAGTTATTAAAATACCTAAATTATAGTACTTATTTGGTCGATTAATTTTATTACAAGACCGATTTTCGATAGTTCACAGTTATTCGTTACGTGGTCCGACACTATGACAACCGTCCATTAAGTACAACATTAATCCTAATACTAAATTAATTTGATATTTTATAGACGTCAGTTGTCAAACTAATTTATCTTAAATAGACACACTTTAGAGCCAAAATCTTCGCGTTTATTTTGGCGTTGTAAAAAAAAAGAACTTTTATATAATTTTTATTTGCAATATTAACATTACGCTTCATAGTTTATATAAGTTGGAGATGAAAAGAATTTTTATTATTTTTTTTTATTTAACGATGTGTAAAAGAAATTATGAGTAAGGTTTTTTTTTAAAGAAAGTTCACAAAATATTCTATTGATTAAGTTAATTTATTAAGGAACATGAAATTACGGGAACATGTACGTGAAATACAAGTGCGTTTACATTGTCAAAAAACATGTATAAAAACATCAAAGATACTCAATCCGGAGCACAAAAGATCAATGAGTAATATTTCTCTTCCTCTGTCCCCTACCCTTCCTTTCGTCTACACGTACATGTCTCCCCTAAATGATGTCTTTCTCCTGAACATCTTCGGAGAAATATACGCTTACTAGATTGTATATGTTCTGTAAATACCTTTATTATATTTAGTAATAAGTTCTCATGACCAATCATCTTGTTTCAATCCAATATCAAAGTAAACAGGGGAAAGTCAGGACGGCCATTTTGAAAAAAAAGGTAAAGGTAATAATATTTTGTCAGAAATAATAACAAGTTTATGAATAAATTTGCTATCGCACGCGATTCCGTCCGCACGGAATTAAAAAAAAAACTATTGTTCGCAGCGTAATGTTATATAGCCTAAAGCCTTCCTCTATAAATGGACTATCCAACGAAAAAAGAATTTTTCAAATCGGACCAGTACTTTCTGAGATTAGCGCGTTTAAACAAACAGACAACTCTTCCGCTTTATAATGTTGGTAAAGATTACATTTTGTCTATGGTTGGATTGGAATGAGATTCAAGGTCAAGTGAAAAAAATATTCGTTTTCTCGTCTCTTATGACTTTGTATAATTTTTATAAAAATTCTATATTAGTTAATAGTTTAAAAACTCCCGACTTGGAAGATTATAAAATGCAATTTTCTTTTCTTCATACGTTTCGTTTTTTAATTGTGCGACATTTTTGTGGATATAAAATAATATATACGCCGTATTTTAAATGGTAATTTTTATTTTTATTAATAATTTTTAGTTTTATAATAATTGTGAATTTTAGATTATAAATTGAAATAAATTATGAAAATATAAATTGTCTTATTTATTTTACAATCGAACCAGGATAAGAGAAAATCCAATGAACTCTACATTTTTCGACTATACCAAGATAATCACTGACCTCTGTACCACTGGACAGGCTATAAGCCATAGCATTTTGTGCCTATTTGATTTCCGCCATATTGGAAACTCGAATACAGAGAATTAAATGTCAGTAGGCATTCCCAAGAAGCGATATGTCCAGTGGTATTATTTTTAATTTTTGACTGGGATTTCACACAATAAGAAATAAATAAAGATTTGGTAAATTAAAGAAGACAAATTAGAAGAACTAATTTTACTAATTATGTGACGTTTGGATTAAGTTTCTAAGAATAACATCAAAATTTAATTATATGAGGTTAAGTAAATTTCAGAAATACGAGACAAAAATGGCGGGAAAAATTTTGTATAGAATAAAATTTACGACCCTGGTTTATTCTGATCTTTATCTTCTTTCACGTTTTGTTCCATTTTTTTATCCAAACTTTCATCTAAAGAACTTTTTGATAACTGCCGTAGAATTTTCTCGAAGATTTTTGGCGCGCTTTTTGTATTCGGCAACGATATATCCGTTTGAGTTGTGACCGTCTCCCATCTCTTTTCCTCCTTCACTTCCACAGGTAAGACTGTCTCTTTCAGGTCAAGTGTCAACGTTTTCTTCTTAATTTCTTTCTCCTCGGGTTCTTTTATTTCTTGAATCTTTTCGGTAACATCGTCTTTGGTTCTTCTGTCTATTGCTTTTGATACAACGCTGCCTAGAATTTGTGCGCATTTTATTATGTTTTGAGTTTCTTTTGCTGTTAAATGTAATCCTTCTTGTTTGATAAGATCGTGAATATTTATGCTTTTATCTGGTGAGCGCTTTACAGAGCCATCTGTTGAGAATTCTGTGAAACAATATAAACCTTATAAAAGTATTTAAAGTGATTTATTACTGGTTTATCTTGTGTTGAGTAAAATAATTATCAAAATAAATATATTAAACAGTTTCAAATTTAGATACAAATTGACTAGGTTCTACAATTTACAGATTCATTATTTAAAAAAAAAGCGCTTTCTAGTTCAATATTGGATATTTTTTTTAACTTTTCAACAACAGAGGGCGTTGTACCTAACAAATAATTACTGCCACGAGAAAAACTTAATAAATTCACTTACCAAAGTCCAACAAATCAAGGTCATCACTACGATACGGCGTAGGACAGTGATCGTAAAGGGCGCTCGTAGGCCCGTTGTACCGCGCCCAGAAATGAGCCCACTCACCCTCAGCGGGGCCCACACGACCTGACTCCTGCCATGTACTTACGCAACAACTGGTCAGGAATTATAAAATAATAGAATTTATGTTAATAGTGCGTTGAAATTGCTTGAAATTGCCTGCGTCTGTGCTTTCATAAAACGTGACAGGGCCGGCGTTAGAATAGGGCGCGGATAGGCGACCGCCCAGGGCGTTTGACAGAACAGGGCGAACACACAAGTAATCTTATTACCAACTTAACATCAAGTTAAATCGAAACATGAAAAGTTTCACATATTTATACTTTTAAACATCAAAAATAAATAATTAGAATCATTTGAAGCGAATGACGTTACAAAGTCAAGTGTCAGATGTAGTGAGGAGGGGACATAAACGTTGACATTTTAATAAGGCTAGTTTTGCGTCACATCGGCACTGTGTCGGATTTACTTCCTAACAATACATAGGGAACGTAACCATACTACGTGACCGTTTAGGGGGAGGGGGGAGCGGAGTCTTTAAAATACAACGGTCAGTCACAGGAGCGGGGGGGGGGGTCAGATTTTAGTCACGTAGTCGTTACTTGTTTTTTTTCATAATACATAATTCACTAGTAATTTAAGTATGCATGCAGTCTTATGCTATAAAGATGAGTATGAGCCAAATTATTTCTTTTTCAATTTTTACCTGTGAAATTATTAAAAATCATAATTATGAATTATTACGTACAAACTAAAGGGTGGGGGGTCTTGGCATGTAGTACGAGTGGTCACCGAGGGGATGGAGGGGTCGAAAAAACTAAAAAAATAGGACACGTAATATGGGTAAAGCAAAATTAGTATTTGTCGATTTATAGTGTAATATTAGGGTTTTGATTGGAACATGATACGTACCTAGATTCATTGAGATCCTGTGATCGTGGAGACATGAGTGTATCTGGTGCTACCCCCATTGACCCTACTGAAGAAGGCGCTGAGTACTCCGGAGACACAGAGGAGCAATCCAACTCTGTACTGACACCTTGTCTGAACAACCAAAATGTAGACAAGCTTAGCTTTCTGGGTACGCCATGATTTTTAATATATTTTAAAATGACGGGAGACTGGTTATAAAAGTACACATTTAAATAAAAACACTAGCTAGCGCCCACGATTCCGTCTGCACGAAATTAAAAAGAAACAATTGGTCGCAGCGTAATGTTATATAGCCTAAAGCCTTCCTCTATAAATGAACTAGTAGTTGCTGAGATGAGCGCGTTTAAACAAACTCTTCTGCTTTATAATATTAGTATGAATTACCTACATGTCAGTCACTTAAAAATTGTCTTAACAGACAGACTTACGGACAACAAAGTGATCGTAAAAGGGTTCCATTTTTTTCCTATGAGGTACGGAACCCTAAAACAGTAGCCCCAATTGTACTAACCTGTATTGACTAGAAGATGAAGTTTTATAACTGTCTTTGCTACAAGATATCGTACTCTGTCGACTGCATCTACTATCCAGACTCATCTGACCTCGTCTGACTGTGACGTCACGAGGACCTCTGGTTATTTGACATTGTAATGACCCGCTGCGGGGTTTCTGAGGTTTTGGTGTAGATGTAGCTGTTATACGTTTGATGCCGTATTTTGAATTCATGTCTTCGAAATCTGAAACCTGTTTAGCGGTGTTAGATTGAATTTTAAACAGTGGTAGAGCTCGCTTTAACGTCTTCGCAGGAATTGTCCTTGCTCAGTGAAATACCACGACCACACAGAAGACACGCCTCAAGTGCGAAGCAATTCCGCGATTCGTCCCGGAGGCCTAATTTAGTCCTCTTTACCTTCCCACCTTTTTTCTTATAAGGAAAGAATGTGAAGTGGAAGTGGACTTTCCGGATGTAAAACACATTGGATCCGGCGATACCATCGCAGTGTTAAATTTTAATTAATATTCGAGTTTTAATTTTAGCTTATTAATAAAAGTTTGAAATTTTCAAATTAAAGACGTGTAGACAGGACAACGTCTATCGGGTCCGCTAGTTTTATATATAAGATTTCGTGTACCTTTGTCCTTTCATTAGTCTACTCTTACCTGAGACAATTCTAACGACATATCATCTTCTATAGTATCCCTACTTCTAGCAGAATGCGCCATACTGTGCCGCTTCGGGGAGTCGAAGGTTCTCTTCTTGGGCAGAGAGTCTAGAGAAGGTCGTCTGTGGGAGCCGGGGAGTGAACTTGCGCGATCCGCTCTGGAACATTAGATATGACTGATTTCTATAGAAGGACAGTTTTTTGCTTAGAAATGACAGTATTTGCTTCGTTACAACTTAAACACGCCTAGGAAACCTGACAGATAGTTCTAGATTCTATACCGCTACCAATTGCTACCGTCAGCTTCAATGGGGACAATCTAGTAGGCACAAATTGTCATGGCTTTTACCTTGGTCCTGTATCATAAGATCAGTGGGAGAAGTACATCATTCAATTTGAAGTAGGGGAAGTAGTGAGGCATCCTGCACATATCTGCTATAACAGGTATGTGTTTGTGCGCTTTGGGTCGTGTTGACTGAGATCTAGTCACTGAATTCAGTCAGGTTAAGTAGATAGGAAGTACATAAAGCCTTTTCAATGGTGTCGACTAATGGGCGACCACTATTTATAATAATTTAATCTGTTCGTACCTTTTAAATATCTGTCGTCCTGTCACCACAAGGTCGAAGTTCTGACTCTTTGGTTGTCTTTTTGGAGTCGAGTTGCTGGATGTAGGTGCAGTTGTCACTCTTTTACTCTCCTTTTCTTCTCTGCTGCCGCGACGGGAGAGACACGCGGAATTTCTTCTAGAAGTTGGCCTACTCTTCCCACCTTCTGGGTCCTTATCTTCTGTGTAACGGTCGCTCTTTTGCATGGCGCGGTACTAGAACAAGAAAAAATAAAAAAAACTCGCTTGATTCCAGCAATTTTACACTCAAGTATAAGAATTGAATAACAATTCACTCGTCAAAATCAAATCACTCGTTGAGACTACAAGACACTACCAGTAAGGGCTCTACTGGCGTCCTCTACGAGCTTTCAACAGTAACTTTTTACCATTTTTTACTTCGCCCACATTTTACAGCGCCCTGGGCGATCGCCTAACCGAATACCCTAACGCCGACCCTGGACATAAACTTAAAATACATAAATCTGGAAAACTTTACTAAAAATAATGACAGGAATGATATACAGAGATAGCTATCGCCCGCGACTCCGTCCGTGCGGTAAAAAAAACTTATTAAGCATGTGTCCTTCCAGACTATGTTCTACATCGATGTCGTTCCAGTGGTACCTACAAACAAAGCATCTAAACATTCGCATTTATAATATTAGTATAAAGTTATCTTTAATCTCGGAAACCAACGATAAATGGATAAAAAACTTACGTATATGTCATGTTAATACATCTTCATACAGACAAATATAGTTTGTATGTGTACAGCTGGACAGGTTCTGATGAACTGAGCGATATAAAGGGCTATACTAAGATACGCTTCAATACATTATAAAGTTGATATCATGACAAGAGGAGCGGATAGCGGATAATAAAGTCGTATAAAGCTGTCGCCCGCGTCTGTCCGCGTGGATTTATAAAAAAACTTAATTAGTGTAGCTTACCCATCCATCCACATCACATCCATCTAAACATTCGCATTTATAATATTAGTAAGTTAAATAAAAAGCAACTCTTCAAGGCATAAATTGGAAAAAAAATAATAAATATTATAGTATCCTATGTCCGTCTCCTGGCTCTAAGCTACGTCCTCACCAATTTTCAGTCATACCGGTAAAGCCGTTCTTGAGTTATAAATAGTGTAACTAACACCACTTTCTTTTAAATATATAGATGAGAATGTAATAGGCCACAAAGCGTGTATTTACCTAATTATATATCG